GCCATCCTTACAAAAGTCACACAAGATCTGCCTTTTCACCACCAGTACACACACACACACCCCTCTTTCCAGCTTCCTGACCTCTTCCCCTGATTTACTCTCCAGTTTCTGTACCTTCCAGGCATACTCTGTCCTCAGAGCTTGGTGTTCCCTCTTCCCCCTGCCCAAAATGCTCTTTCCTGTGGCTTGTCCTTCACTCAGGTCTCAGTGTAAAGCCCACCTTGTTACCTACCACGGCCTTCCCTGACCGCCATATCTAAAATAGCACCCCATGGCCCTTTGGATGTTTATTTCTCCTCATAACATCATCACCACCTGACACATGTTTATTTGTTTGTTTGTTGTCTTCTCCATTGAGATAGGGGCTCTGTGAAAGCAAGGTCCTTTCCCTCAAGGGCTTCAAGCATTGCCAGGTACAGAGTTCAGTATTGCCTGATTGGATTATTCCGTGGGATTCTGCTCAGTTATCAATTCTGTGTGCCCTTAGGGCAGAAGTTCAGTAATTCTGCTGAGTATCAGAATCACCGAGGAGCTTGCCCAAAATATACGTGCCCTGACGCTGCTTCCTAGAGATCCAAATTCTGGGGTGGAACTTAGAACGTTTTTTAACACACTCCCCACATGATTTTGATGCATGGGATAAACAGACCACACTTTGCCAAAGACTGTCTCATTGTACCAGTTTGTATTTATCTGTTGCTCTGCCTTGCTGAGTGTTGTGTTATGTATATCGGCAGTTTTTGAATCACCTTGGAACCTAAATATAGATGCCCTTGCCCCACCCCAGATCTCGTGAATCAGAGCTTCCAGGGAGGGGTCTTGGGAATCTCCATTTTCAAAAGACTCGTTCTATGCCTCTGATGCAGCCAGTCTTCCCACTGGCCTGCGGGAGCCCCTCCTATGCTTTATAGACTGCATGAGGAGATTGGAAGTTCAAGAGCAGGTGCTTTCTCTGCCATTTTAGGCCAACTTCTCTCCCTATCTCCCATTAATCCAACAGTGTTCTGTTCAAAACCAGTTTTCAGTGAGTCACTGTGGGGTGGCTCCTTGGTTTATCCACAGTTTCAATGTGCTTTTGGGACTTAAACATTGCCCAGTATTTCTTTTTTCTTTTTCCTTCTTTTTTTTTTTTTCAAGACAAAGTCTTACTCTGTCACCTAGGCTGGAATGCAGTGCCACAGTCATGGCTTACTGCAGCCTTGACCTCCTGGGCTCAAGTGATCGTCCCACCTCAGCCTGCTGAGTAGCTGGGACTCTAAGTGCGCACCACCACGCCTGGCTAATTTTTTGTAGAGATGAGGTCTCACTATGTTGCCTAGGCTTGAACTCCTGAGCTCAAGCTATCCTCCCACCTTGGCCTTCCAAAGTGCTGGGATTACAAGCGTGAACCACTGCACCCAGCCCAGTATTGCTAACTGCATCTCAAATCAGCCTGTTCTTTGATTAGAGGCAAGAAGGATATCTTAGTCACCTAGCTCATCCTGGTGGGGACTCTCTTTGCAGTCCTTTCTATCCTGGAATTTAAAATGTGTTTCCCAGGTCAGCCCATACAGGAATACGGTAATATCACCCATCATCATACTCAAACATTCATCTGTTCAGCCTTCCCCTTGGTTCTGTACTGGGACATGAGTGTTGACTGTCTTCATCCTTGGGCTGGTGGTCTCCAGAATACCCCCAAAGATGGAGAAAAGTCCTGATCCCTTGCCCTGTGGCCTGCGTAGGCTGCTTAGGTTGTTTGAAGGAGGGTATCTCCCTAGAGGCCAGGGCTTTGCCCTATTTCTGTTTGGTTTTGCCCTGGAACTATGTACTGACATTCTTTATAGAGAGAAACTTTTGAATCAAAACTCTTCAAAGTGTAACCTAAAAGTAAAACAAAATAGGAGGTAGAGTGGGGATGAGGCAGATGGCTGGGAAAGAGTATACCAAGGAATGATATTTGTGGAATATCTGAGTCCATGGGGACTCAGAATGTCCTCATTCTGGACTTTGGATGGCCAACTCTTTGGTAGCCTCTTTGAGTATGTTGGGTTTATCTTCATTCTTTACAAGAGCTGATGGGATCATTATTCATGGCAGAATCTGAAAAGTAGTAGGGTCGTCCCGTAAGCCCAGAAGGCACTTGCAACCCCTCTTAGCACACATTATATATCTGTATCTTGGCGTTGTGCCTCCGGATAAGCCTCAGATTGCATTTTGATGCCAGATGTGAGAAGCCATTAGTAATCAGGACGACTCCCTTTAGGAAATCCTGTTCCCAGGTGATAGCTGCTTCCTAAGGAATACTTGTTTGGGGGCAGGGGAGAGTGGCACCGGAGGCTTTGATTTAGAGACAAAGGGGAGTGAATTGACCCTAGAAATGTTAGAGTAAGAGATTTCTAATGAGACCTGACAGCTCAGGGGCTGAAGAGGGAGTCTAATCTTTTTTTTTCCTGCCCACCCAGTCTTCATACAAATGTAAATATGCCTCCTTCAACAAATTGCCAAATGTGGTTTTAATTTGTAAGCAGGAGACCCCGCCTTGCCTTTCTCTTTCTTTTTCTTTTCTTCTCTTTTTTCTTTCTTTCTTTCTTTTTTTTTTTTTTTTTTTTATGAAAACTAAGTCACAGATTTTACACTTTTTGAACAGGACATTTTCTCCTGTCACTCTGTCACCTTTTCTGTTGTCCCGTTTCTTCCAAGGACATTTTCCTTCATTGTTGTCAGAGGAATTTGGGATGAGAGCCGACTGCTCTGCTTCTTAAAGGAGTTTTTGAAGTTCCCAAAGGAAATGCGTAGTGCTCTTTAAACTGAATTTTAAAAATAAATAAATAAAGGCAGTGATTGAATTTAATACGAGATTTGAAGAGAGTGTCACTATCGCAGCATAATACTTTATGTGGCATATGCAGTATTCATTGTTGTTATTTATGACCCTGTCTGCCTTGCATTGTGGATTTCTTCCAGCCTTGGGGAATTTACATCATTCCTAATAGCAAAAGGCTTTCTGGTTCCCACAGAGTTGTTCAAAGCCTGACTCATGCTCCTTATGTTAATTGTTCAGCTCTGAAAATACAGCACTTACAGGGTGTGGTTGTAAGGGGAGATTCTACTGTACTTATAGGGCATGTTTAGAAGTGTTTCACACATAAATCTCGATTCCTCTCTCTCTCTCTCTCTCTCTCTCTCATTTGAATTTTAAGATGTCACTCATTTTGGCCAACTAGTAAGTCTTAGAAAACAAACAAAAAAAAAGGAAGTATAATCCAATAAAACATAGAATATTCTGTTCACTAGCTTAAAACTCACTTGGGTTATAACCAGATATGACTTTGAATGACACTGGCCCAGGTCTGAGATGGATAGGCACAACTGAAGAGCATGGAGAGCCCATCCTCAGTGGTGCAGGGCAGTGATTAGGCAAAGCACATCCCCTCAGCCTGTAGGGTAACCAGGTGTGGTACTCATGGCTGCCACCCACCAGGTGCTCTGGGGCTGTCACTGCTAATTCCAGTGTCGTTCTAAAGCAAGGACCTAATGACAGTTTACTAAAGCTGTTTCTGGTGGTAGCAACATTTTATTGGAATTTGATGGGGAAGAATACTTAGTGTCTCAGAAAATGAGAGGAGTTAATACTCGTCTGGATTATGTACTCGATAACCAAAAGGAGAAGAGATTCCAAAACTATGAAATGGGTTAATGTTGGCAAGGTAGGTAGGCTTTTACATTTTATAATTACTTCCTTATGATGCTTCCATGGGAACACAAAAGGCTAGATAGGCAGATAATCTATGAATTATATAAAACCAGAGTGGTGGTTAGTATAAGGAAAAAAGTCCCGAATTTTTTAGTAGCCAAGAATCACAAACTCCAGTTTTCAAAATACCAATATTAAAATATTTGACTGGCCGGGCGCGGTGGCTCAAGCCTGTAATCCCAGCACTTTGGGAGGCCGAGACGGGCGAATCACGA